CTCATTTCCACTCAAAGCAAGCCAAACCAAGAAATCACATAGACTTAAAATTTGGACAGCATTTCCCCTAAAATTTCATATTTTCCATCCTACAAACAACCATTTAAATTCATCCAACACAACCAAAACTACAACTACAATTCATAAGCAATCCAACACACCTTATTAGGGTTACAATACCCTTCAATCTTAGCCAATCAAGAGTTCCACAACAACTCTAGAAAAGCCCCAAATTTTGAAACCCTAAAACTGAAATTTTCCGCACAAATCTAAAATTTTCCGTAACAGCCACAATTAACATACAAAGGCTCCATTTTACACCATATCAAGCTATCATTCCATGACCAACCAACAATTATTATATAAAATCAGAAAAATCACTAATAAATCAGAAATTTATCAAACTCTACTTAAAATCATGAAATCTTCCACAAAATAGCATATTTAGCCAATAAAACCACTAATCTACCCTTATTAAGAACAAAGAGGAAATTTCTTAGCAACTCACCTTATAAACTCAAGAAAGATAGCACCTTAGAACCTCCTCTTCTAAAACCACTCCACCACTTTCTTTAATCCTACCTAGCAAAGGATTTTTTATGGAGTAATTTGATTCTAGTGGTTGGATTACAAGATATGAGCAAGAATGGAGGAAATAAGTTGAAGGTTTTCTCTCCTTTTCTCTCTATGAAGCTCGGCCAAGGAGGAGCAAGACTGAAGATGATTTTGGGTCAAAATTAATGTTTTAGTAAAGTTGGGGAATAGTGGTCAAAGTCCAACATCCAACCATGTCGCGACACCTAGCACCTTTTAAGTTCAAACCTATCTTCTTGTCTCTCCAAGGTTAATCCATCTAAGTAACCTCTAATTATCTCTTAACACCTTGTAATTTAATCCCTTTATGCAAAATTTAACCTAATTGATCGAATTTATCGCACTTAACGCACTAGCGGGTCCCACATCCAATATATACTACTATTGTCTCATGAACTATCTTATACTAAGAAAATAATTTAAAAACTATTTTTACTCATAAAAATTATCTAGAAAATTTTCATAATAAAGAAAATATAGAAAATGTTTGCAAATAAATAAAATAATGTCTAGAAAATAAGAAAATTTTCGGGTTCTCACAAGGGGGAGGTGGGGCCGTCACAAAGTGGCTGGCCAAAGAAGGGAAAAATGAAGGATATTTGGGTCAATTTTTGTTTTTATTAAAGGCTAAGAAAGGTCTTAGTCAAAGTCAAAACTCCATGGCTTTGATGACAAGTGTCTTCCAATGGTTAATCCTCGTCTAATGGTTGTCCAAATGCTAAAATATCTAGCCAACCTACAATTATCCCATAACACTTTATAAAATAATATCCCTTTGCACAAAACTCCTCTTAATCTTCAAAAATTTATCGCACACACCTCAGCAGTGGGTCCTACTTCCATAATGCACTACGAACTTAACATGTACTAACTTAAAAAGAAAAATACTTTAAAAACTTGAATCACTTGTAAAAGTATCTAGGAAATTAAGGCAATAACGTAAAGTAAAGAAAATGTATTCAAAGAAATAAAATAAAATAAAGTAAAATAATTTTCGGGTCTTCACAAAAAGAATATGAATGCTTTTCTGAAGACAAAGCACATATCGGAGAGCCTTTGGGATGAGGAGTGTACTACAAAACCTTGAAATTACTCCCAAGCAAGGGTTCTAAACCTATGGCAGAGATGGGGCCTTTTCGTCGATAATGACCACTTATGCTGGAAAGACTCCAGAAGCTGCATTAAATTATCTAAATTGGAAAATTAAATTACTTAAGAGTTGCCGAATTAAATCAAGCCAAAAGGCAAGAACGACTCTTTGCTGAATGAACACAAAGCCAACCCCGATTGCAACAAAAAAGAAAAGGACGCCTCATCCAGCTGTCAGAGCATGGAATAGATGTAAGCAGTTACGTCATGAAGCATCTCCGAAATCCAAAATAAAAATTCAAGTTCACATAATTGAAAGAAGTCCATGAGTAAAACCACTTAAAGTCAAAGTTGAAGTGCAAAAGCTCTATAAATAAAAGGACCAAAAGTAGAAGAAGGCAATCGATACTTAGCTGACCTCATGTAATCCTTCACTCCACCTAGAATAGCCATAGTAATTTTTCTTAATGATCTTTGAATATCTCTCATGAATACTAAAAAGAAGAGAGAGTGTACCATCTATTTACCTTGTACTTATAGCCTTTATATTAATAAAACAAGTGCTTTCCTTCATAAACTCCCAATATTTTACTTCTGAGTACATCTAGAGGTAGGAAATGAAATTAGACTACGCTGCAAGGCTTTGAAGCGGCCCCTAAAGGAAGTCACTCAGGTGGTTATGTGAAAACCCGTAAATTTCTTACTTTCTAGGCTTTATTTTATTTATTTGCACATCTTTTATGCATTTTCTTTAGTAGGAAAATTTTTTAAATAATTTTTATGAGTAAATAGGGTTTTTAAATTATTTTTCTAGTATAAGTTGGTTCAAGAGGTTTTAAGAGTATATACCGGACGTGGGATCCACTAGTGCGGTAAGTTCGATAAAATTCGGCCAATTAGGTTAAGTTTTGCATACAGGGTTTAATTTACTAGGTGTTAAGAGATAATTAGAGGTTACCAAATGGATGAGAGATGGAGAGACAAAAAGATAATTATGCATTAATAAGGGTGACAAGTGTCACCTTGTGATGGAATCTTAAGTTTGACCACTATTCATAACTTTACCATTTAATCAAAATTGGCCAAAAAATCATCTTCATTTCTTTCCCTCTTGGCCGAACTACTCTTGGGTGAAAAGAAAAAAAATCTTCAACTTTCTTCATCTCAAATCTTGCTCAAGCTTGCAATCCAACCGATTAAGCTTGAAAGTTCTCCATAAAAATCCTTCTCTTAGTAGTAGTAAGGTTGTTGGTGAAGTGGTTTGGAAGAAAGTGGTGTGTAGTTGCTTCCTTTCTTGCATTTCAAGGTGAGTAGCTAGGGAATTCTTTCTTTGGTCTTGATAATGTCAAATTAATGACTTGTGGTGGTTATAAGTGTGATTTTGTGAAATATTTCATGACTTTTAGTTGAGTTTGGTGAATTTTATATTTAATCTTGATTTTTCTGTTTTATATGTGTTTGATAGTGTGTGGACATGGATTATGGCTTGGGATAGTTTAGAATGAAGCTATAGTGCGTAAATTGTAGCAAATTGCAGAAAATTTCCACGCTGTGCGGAAAATTCCAGATTAGGGTTTCAATTTTTCTCTGTTTGACCTAGTTAGAGGCCGAATTAGCCTTAGGTAAAAACATGAAAATTGTAGAGAATGATGCTTTGTAGTTGCCTGCAAAATTTCAACCTAATCGGAGCAATGTAACCTATGAAAAGACTGAAATACCCCTGCTGCCCTGTTTCTGTCCGAAACTGATAATCAGCTGTGGTAATTGGTTAGTTTGACTAGGAATACTACTGATTTGGTTGTCGAAGTCTTCTTAACATTTATCACCTGGTATCTTAGCTGTCAGCTGTCTTGGAATCACTTGAATTGGAGTCGTATGTGCTGAGATATGATTGAATGAATCAGGACTGCTAGTTGAATTTCACCGTAAACTTCGAACTGGAAAATCTGGGGTTGTTTTGGTAAATTTGACCTAGATACATTGTAAACTGGACTGAGTAACTTTCATCAAATTGTAGCCCTTTGTCTTAGCATCAAACCGGTATAAATTACACATCCATCCGATAATCGTAGCGCCGGTTGTGTCTAATACGCTAAATGACGTCAAATCTGTTTTTGGGTTTTAGGGCTTAACTTTCATTTCCGGACTTTCCCTAGCTTACCTTGGTACTTATACGTTCTAATGGGGCCTTATTTTTGGTAGTATGTGGATTTGGTTTATGACTTGTAATCGAGTCTTATTGTGTTTTATTGAGTTTTAGGCGTGCTTAGAGGTGGCAAAATGGGTGATTTGGGCGGGTTTGAGTTGGGTAAAATGGGTAATGGGTATAAGTGAGTCAACCCATTTATATCTATTTAATTAGATGGGCATAAATGGGTAAGTCAAAAAATGAGTTGGGTAACCCAATCATCCATTTATAACCCATTTATTCTAATTTTTTACAAGCTCATATAAATTCATTTTGTAAACTAAATTATCAATTTATACCATTTTACACCCATCATTAATTTTAAATATTTACTTATTATGCCAAAGAAGTCTAATTATCAATTTTTTTTCCTTCCACGTGCCATGTTGCAAAATTACATATTATTTAATAATTGAACATTGAGAATCTAAAAATTTGGACTAAATAATATGAAAGTTAACAAAAAAAATTAATCCAAAACTTTGAACCCCTAGTATTTTTATTTTTATAAATTTAAAATTTCATTTGAAAAGGTAAGAAAGGAAGCTAAAATTTGTCATAAATTGATGATGCTAAAAAATGATCAAATTAATAAATTACAAGGAAATAAAGCGATAAGATAAAACCAACAAATAAATAAAACAAAAATACTTAACATCAAAAATAGTTAAAAATCCTTATGAAGACTAGCAATCACTTCATTTAGCATACAAATAAAGACAAATTTTCAATAAATACGAATAACAAGCATCAGGTTCTCAAGTTTCGTACAACTGTATAGCATAAATGATAAAACTCCTCTAGCTCACTGGTGAATGAAGAAAAAGGTACCCTTACATTACAAAAGTTTCAGTGTCAATTTTGCATAATAACTGCAGGTTGCTCTGCTAGTACAAATTACCACCAAGCAGGTTGAACAAACTTAACACGGCAGAGAGACACATATTGTAGCAAGAAACAAATATTATTCCCTGATTTGAATCCTCTGATAAACATCAAGGAGAAGAATAAACCAAGTTTAGTTGACAACATCGAGGACCAGCTTACGTGACTTCAAAACCGACCATTTCAAACGCCTGTAGTAAGCAGCTTGAAGGAGTGCCAGTGATAGTACAAATATCCACTTGATAGTAAAAAGATAGCAACCTAAAAGTTTGCTGCTGGCTCAACACAAAATAGAGAAGATTCCTGGCAACCAAAACCAAAACCAAATTCAAAGTTCTATTTTTTGCTACTTAAATTTCATATAGATAGAAAGATAAAATTCTTTTCACTACATTACTAACAATCCCCATGATCATGAGAATACAGCTTACCTAAATATGAAGGTTAGTAAGTTTAGCAACTAAAGGTGCAAAGTCAATACTCAGTCTTTCTTTATCTTCTTCATCTTCAGAAGCTGAAATCAAAAGTAAAGTTCAATAAGTGACCAAAAAAAGTAAAATACAAGATCATGTGCACTGAAAGGTTAAGTATAACATACCTGTTACTCCATATAACTAGTCCCTAGTACATAACAAGACCTCCACATTTTCTGGTAGGAGCGAAGTACGATATTTACCCACAATTCTACCACCAATACTGAAAGCTGATTCCGAGGCCACTGTAGTGATAGGAATACTTAAAATATCCCGTGCCATCAAAGAAAGAATAGGGTATCGATTTTTGTTTTCTTTCCAAAAATTGAGAACATCCAATTCTTGAGTTGAAAGGAGTCGAGTATCATCCAAATAAGAGTCTACTTGTGACTTATTCCTTTTGTTTGCATGTTGTTGACTCTCAAATTCAGTAAAATCATCATTGTCATTGCCCAAATCACCACCAGAGCAGCCTGCTATTGATCCATCTAGCAAATGACCATCAAAAGTATTCTCGTACTCCTTAAATAGTAAATAAAATTTATCCCGAACTTCATTAGCACGTTCTTCATAATCAAAAGGATATAGCTTCTTAAAAGCATACACCACATAATCCATTTTAAAGCGCGGATCCAAAATGATGGCAAAACTCAAAACCAAGCTATAACATTCCCAATACTTCTCAAATTTCAGTTTCATTTGCTTGGCCATATCACTCACTTCAATGTCTAAATTATTGACCTCTTCCATGATAACTTTTTGAATTTTCCAGACACCATGAAAATACAAATTTGCAGTTGGATAGTTAGTCCCTGAAAAAAGGGTGGTCAGGTCATAAAAATGCCTCAACAGTGTTGTAAATTTCTGCACCTTAAGCCATTCTTCTTCAGTTGGGTAAAATCTGCTGAAGTTGCGATCAACCACGTGCAACTGATGAAAGGCAAGCTTATATTCAAGTGCACTATCCATCATCACAAATGTAGAGTTCCACCTGGTTGGGACATCTTGATGCACCCTCTTATTGCATGGCAAAGAAACTTGAACAATACACTCTGCAAATTTCAACTTTCTAGATTCACTAGCTCTAATATATTTTACACACTCTCGGATCTTTGAGACTGGTTTGGAAATAACTTTGACACCATCTTGGACAATCAAATTTAGCACATGTGCACTGCATCTTACATGAAAAAATTCACCCTCACAAAATAGTGTATTTCTTAGCCTCAAATGCTGCTTCAACAGATTCACCATACCATCATTGTAAGATGCGTTATCCAATGTGATAGTAAAAATTTTTTTTTCAACAGCCCAATCTCTCAATAAATCTATGACTTTTTCAGCTAATATTGGACCACCATGTGGTGGTGGCATGTGGTGAAAATTTAGAACCCTCTTTTGTAAAATCCAATCTTCATCCACGAAATGAGCCGTCAATGCCAAATACCCATCTGTTGCAATAGATGTCCACAAGTCTGCAGTAAGGCAAATTCGACTTGAAATTTAATTTAATTCTGTCTTTACTCTCTCTTTTTCTCTTTTGTACATCTTTTCAATATCAGCCTTTATCGTGTTTCTCGAAATGGGTAAAGCATATGAATTTAAGTATATACACAAGTCTCGAATTCCTTCTTGCTCCACCAGTCTATAAGGATGGTTATGCTTCACAATAGCAATTCCCATCTTTTCCCGATAAATTCCTCGGTCAATTGGCCGGACTCCACCCATCCGGACGTAGCCAGACTACAAGGTAATACTCAAGTATACCAAATTCACCCAGGTCACCATATCGCCCGACCGAGTCCGCTTCTGGCTCGAGTCGATCGGTAACAAGAGCAAGGGCCCAGTTCAGCCAAAAGGCTTACATTCATGCGCAACTAGTATTTCAACATTTAATCACCGAAAATTTCATATTTATTTAGGTCGAGTGCGATAAAGTACACACTCACCTAGCAAAAGTTCATTTTAAAAAAATCATAGAAAACAAGTAACATTTAATCAAATAGTCACAAATAATCACATAGATCCAACAATCCACATAGTCATAGAAACAAAACGTATATAGAACACTCACCTATTTACGCACAATAACGTGCACAGTTTCCTTTCGAATACACCCTCAATCACCAAGGTATCCTAATATAATCAAATAAACATATTATGCTTCAACCATCAAAGATGTAAGTGAGTCAAGTACAAGTCGAATACGTACTAGTACAAGGTATAATTATGGTTTTGGTAGTGAAAAGAGTACGTTGAAACCAAAGGGCATATGTAAAATATTTGTAAACTTAGACTCACTAGTAAAACTTTAAGAATCGCTATTTGATTCGAAGTGGCAAAGAAAACATAAACAACCTAGATGGCTCACGTGGTAATCACTCTTAACCCTTACTCAGGTTGCAAGTATAATTTTCTAGTCCTCGAGCATAAATTTGGGCAGCATGCCCTTTGTGTTTACCTAATTTTCCAGCCATTTAGGCTTCATTATTTTTCCTCAACCAAATCCCAAAGTCACACATATCAGCAATTCAAGTCAAAAGCCGTTCCATAGGCTCATAATATCATAAGAATAAGAATCACAATAATAACAAGTGCAGAAATACGATTTAGCAAAAGACAGATTTGACATGTGGATGGGGAAATAACATATCCGAGGCTACGCTTGTCGGATTGAGTCACAACTTATGCCGTTTCGAAGCTAAGACACAGGGCTACAATGTTCATGAAGATCACTTAGTCAAATTTTCAATGTAACCTGATAAAATTCCCAACTCACATAACCTGGTTTCAACTATTCGGCTAATCAACCGCACTGCATTCAAGTGACCATATCTCAGTCTACCGAGGTCCGTTTAAGGTTTTCTTGGCGGCGTTACAAAGCTAAGACAGGGTACTAAAACTTTAATGTTTTAACAAAAGACTAACTCTGAACGGATTATAGTGAATAAACACAACCAACAAGACTAAACTGTCCACGCGGAATTCTGGAAGGTGACCTAGATCAGCGAGGGTATTTTCGTCTTTTCACAGTCTACATAGCTCCGATTAGGCTGAAATTTTATAGGCACCTACAAAATACCATTCTATACAACTTTCATGTTTTGACCCTAGGCCAAATCGGCCTCTAACATGAAGCTACAAAACCGGACAGAAAAGGGGAAAAATTTCCAGAAATCTGGAATTCTTATAATCAATTGCTAACTTCTTTGTTTTTGGCTTGCTTCACCATCTTAACTTCCCATATTAAACTTTAAACATCAAAGCCCCAAATTTTAAGCACTAGAAAAATCATAGGAAAGCTGAAAAATATTCCAATAAAATGAAAAATCATGACCCAAGCCTCTATTTCACCACATACCTCAATAATTCAACCATATGTGACATATTTAGCAACTAATCGTGAATTTAATCGGAGAGTCAAGGTTCCAGCATGTATACCTTTCCAAGTAGACTAGAAACAAGTGTTCAAGGCCTTTGTTCCTCAAGAAAATTACACCGGTAGGTAGCCTTTGTGCTAGATAACAACTTAATCGGAGTAGATTTGCGCGAATAGAAGAAACTTTTCAAGATTTGGAGAAGAAATGAAGGAGAATGAGATGAACTCTCTTTGTCTCTCTCTCTCTCTCTCTCTTATTTCGGCCAAGATGCAGAATTAATGAAGGAAATTAAGCTAAGCTTGTGTTATAAGAAGGTTGGAAAGCTAAGGATTAATTCTAGCCACAAGTTTGGCTAACACTTGGACTAATCTTGACCACAAATTTTTCTCTCTCTTGTTGCATTTCTAACCTCTAATTTTCGGCCAATAGGAGGGATAAGAGGGAGAAGATATTTTGCTCCATTAATGATAAACTTGTATGGCAAGAAAGTGGTGATCAAGTGGTGGTTCAATCGGTAGTACGCGGTACACGTCGGTTCGCGCCGTTTTTCTTAAAAACACACGTACTAGGGTTTTTACTTCCTATTCACTAACCTCATATCATTGCTCCTAATCACATATTATTTCTCACTTAAAAGTCACTTTTAATCACCAAATTTGATCCTTTTTCCGTACCGAAAATTCATCCGGCGAAAATCGCAAAAACCCTAATTTTGCTCCAATCTTGAAATCAAAAGTGAAACCCTACTTTCTAGGCTCATTTACACTTATTGTGGAACGATTGGGTAGTAGGGCTTTAATAAATAAATAATTCCAAATAAAAGGCATTTGAGAAAAATATAAGAAATTTGCAAGTCCTCACAATCTCTCCCCCTTAAGAAATTTCGTCCTCGAAATTTTTACCTTCGTTTGCCTCAGACGAGTCTGGAACTTGTCGGTTGTCTAAAGCGTAAACCTTTGCCAGTGCACTGGTTCGTTTCCCTCTTTCATTTAATTGTGATTTAACTCCATCCAGTTGCTGAGTATTGCTTTCACGTGACTATCTCCTCGGACAGTTGCTAACTTGATGATCGCCACTTCCGCAGATTAAACATTTCCGCCCTTTTCTCCAACAATCGCTTTCGGCATGATTTGCCTTTCCACAGTATCCACAGACCACGTGAGAAGCCATCTTTTGGCTTTCTTGAAAACTTTTTCCAGGTCTGATATGGCTTCCTTTTGTAGATCCTTCACCTACCGCCCCTAATGTCCATGGTGGGTGGGACAAAAAGTTCACTTTCTGCACTTTGGAAGGGACTATCGCTTCACTTAATTCCTCCACTACATTACCCGATGCACTCCTTTTCCGGGTCTGAGAGGCTTTGATCTGTGCCTTTGCAGTCTCGATTCTTTGAGCTTTCTCAAGGGCCTCCGTAAACGTATTCACTTGTGCCGCCGCTAATGCTTCTTGGATTTCTAAATTTAAGCCCTGTATGAACCGTCTTACTCTTCGCCGCTCTGTGGCCACCAATTCAGAAGCAAACTTGGATAGTTTCGTAAATTTCGTTTCATATTCGGCCACACTTAGCGTTCCCTGGCGTAGCCCAATAAACTCCTCCTCTCTCCTCTCTTGGACTAAAGGAGGGAGGTATTTCTCGTCAAATTCCCTTATGAAATTTGCCCATGTCCATACGGTCTGTTCTCTTTCCCATTTTGCTTTAATAACGTTCCACCACGCTCGGGCCGGTCCTTCAAATTGGAACACCGCAAAGTTGACTTGTCTT